CAGAAGGGTTTCACCAAACCCGAATCTTGGAAGTACTTCAAAAAGATAAGTCCATTCAATCCTATCAAATGCTTAACACGCATCCACTGAAAGCATTGCTGTGTCCTTCGCGTTATGTTTCTCATGTAGTATATTTAAAACTCTTCTAATGTTGTGAAATCCCTGTCGTTTTTGCACAAAACCTTGTTGATCATCAACAATTAATTGAGGGAGATATTTATCCAATCGTCCAGAAAGCACTTTGCAAAGTATTTTTGTATCACATCCCATTAAGCTAATTGGTCTGTAAGATGAGCATTCTGTTGGTGGCTTGTTTGGTTTTAATATTAAAGTTATCATAGCTAATCTCAATGAATCTGGGAGCGTTCCTTTGACAAAAAATTCTTCATTCATATCGAGAAGCGGCTTTACAAGTTGTTTTTTAAATGTTTTATAAAACTCTATGGGAAACCCGTCTGGTCCGGGTGCTTTACCACTGTTGATATTCCCTATAGCTTCACAAAGGTCGGCTATTGTCAATGGACTATCTAGTTTTGCTTTTTCATCATCTGACAGAGTATGAAACTGTAGCCTATCAAGGAAATTGCTCTGAGTTTACCTGTTTTCTGTGTATTCTGATTTGTATTCTGATTAGTATACTGATTTATAAAAGTCTCTAAAATTATTATTTATCTCTTTTGGGTCTTCAGTTAAGTTGCCAGATACTGATTTTATACCATTAATTATTCTTTCTGCTTGCATTTTCTTTACTCTCCAGGCCAGTAATTGACCCGCTTTTTGCCCTTGATCGTAGTACGTTTGTTTAGTCCACATTAGGCTTTTAGCCACTCTGTCACTTGTTAACTTATCGTAACGAGCTCTCATGACGGATAGATCACGTAATTTTTCAGGATCATTGTGACAGTAAATTTCAGTCTCTGCTTTCTTAATTTAGTTTTCTAATGTTTGTAATTCTTGATTATGCTGCTTAGTTTTTGAATTTGTATAACTGATCATTTCTCCTCTTATATACACTTTAAATGCTTCCCATCTAATGCTGGATGAAGTTTAATCTGTATTTAGTTCAAAATAATTGTCAATGCAACTTTCCACAAATGTAACAAAGTCTGGGTCTTGAAGTAGATAAACTTGTAACCTCCATCTTGCGTGACGTTCAACCCTGCCTAAATTGATCTCCATAAACACTGTTGCAATACTACTGTAACCACAACTTTTGTCCTAAAAAAACAAAACAATGCGTGAATGAGTTTTATATGAGCTTGAATAGCAAGAAAATTCCCTCTTATCCGGGTTCAAGTTCCTCCAAACTTCACTTAACCTTAAATCCTTTATATATCTAATCAGTGCTAGTGACTTATCCGACCGGCCCACATCGTCCGATCGGCCCACTTCACAGGCTGAAAAGTCTCACCATACTTAATCCTAGACAGTAGCACATGGCCTATATATTGTACGACTTTGTAATTTTTGAATGTTGATATGTATTCGCTCATAGCCTACTGTGCCTTTCACGCAGACAATAAAAGTGAATTTTGAAATGACAAATAGGTTTATGTTTCAAGTTTATTTGCATTAAAAACGTGTTTTTAAACCCTTCTGTTCAAAGTTGATATTTTGTTTCTTAAAAGATTAAATCTTTAAAAACATGCTGTTTGCCATTTTTAAAGTTTGATGGAAGAAATTAAATATAGGTCACTGACGTGGAGCTTTAGGCCTGCAATGCTTTCAAAAAAAATTTTGGTGTTTCAGTTTTGAGGAGTGAATATGGATGTTAAATTCACAAATGAGTATGAATAATCTTAAACAAGAACAGGATCTTGAGCCATGTTTTTAAGGTACAGAAACATTCAGAATGCATGACGATTCCTTCAAAGGTTTTGTAATAGACCCCTAGTACTCTTAATTTATAAAGTAATAATACAATTATTGAGCTCATTAGTGGCCTGACTGGCCTTCTAATTTGGTCTAAAAAAAAAGTCAATGATGATCATTGTGAAGGGTTATTGATATTGTCCAGCCCATATCAATAACATACCAAACTACAGGCTAATGTGAGATTCAGAAATTAGTTTTAAAAATCATGTTTTCATGTTATAGTAGGCCTACCTTACATGAACCTGTTTGAAACCATAATGACCCCATGATGTGATTATTTATATCTTAAAACCTTTAACAACTATATTTAGATGTTCATAAATATCTACATGTATGTATAAATACATGTGTAGCAGTTAGACAAACATAATTAATAGATCTCCTTATTACCTATTTGATATGTACTAAAAAATTAAGTTTACTAAGCCCCCTTTTTGTTTTAATTTATTAATTAGACAAAATGATTTGTGCTTAAAGTCATATACTGTTGTGTCTCAAACGGATAGACTAGATTATTAATTAATTTGCCTAATAGTTGCTTAAAATGCTACAATAACATTTGCAATTCATTTTTAATCTACCATGTACGGTATCAATGTCTCTCAGCCACCGTGTACTTGCTGCGGCTGCAGCTAGACCATATTGGTGGATTTGGCGGGGCTGTTTTAGTAGTGAAAATATCGCAAGTCTTGGTCGCAGGAGGGTTTGACATATCAAAGCTGATATTGTGTTAAAATATTTTGTCGTGTAGGAAGGGATTTTGTATTAAATTATGTGTGGTTGTCGGGAGCCTCCCAGCTAAGCTGCCATCTTGGTCTCGTCCGCGTGACCCCCCTGCTTTTTCACTTCTTATCCTACAAGTTCACACACACGCCTGGGAAAGCAGTTGTGTTTATTCTCTTATAGGAAGTAGTTCCCAAGAAACATATCTGAAAGCTCTATAGGCATTGTGTTGAAAACAATGTGTGTATGTGTGTGTGTCCACAAATGGAAGTCTATATGTGTGAATGTGGACTTTTGTGTGTGTGACTGTTTACATGTAATTAATGTAAAAAATTGCCCTCCACTAGTGAACTAGTAAGAAAAACATCTGTCACTAGTTTACTAGTGACTCCTCTACGGCTCCACTAGTTAACTAGTGAAATAAAGTGTGTGTAACTAGTTAACTAGTAAGGTAAAAACAATTGTACTAGTGTATCTAGTGGACACTTTGGACCTCACTAGTTAACGTGTAGACATTTTGAGCCTCACTAGTTAACTAGTAAGGTCAAAAGATGCGGCAACTAGTTAACTAGTGAACATTTTGTCTTCACTAGTTAACGTGTAAGCTTTAATATGTATCCACTAGTTAACTAGTTGCAGTTCATATGGCCTACACGTTCACTAGTGAACCATATGCAAATGAAGCAGACGGGGCCCATATTCTGATTGGTCAGTTCAGCTCTGTGAGGGAGAGCCTTAGCAATGTTTTTAGCAACGTCTTGAAGACGTGAGGTGCATCAGTCGGGTATTTAGTGCCTACTGTTAAAATATTGTCAGTGGGAAGTCAGTCAGTGTGTGTTTTGCCTAGAAAAATACATGTTTATGTTTCTGCTTTGCTCCGCTTTGTGTGTGTGTTTTTGTTGGTGCGAGTGTGCATATGCTTGTGTGTGAGAACACCGGCACTCGAGACACAAAAGTAGCGGATATGATCGTGGGACATTTTATCAGCGGTGCTCATGAAATGAATAAAGCTGAAACACTGGACAGATCTTAAAATCAGGGTAACGATAGATCCTATGAAGATAAACAACCTCTCCATATGTGCCTTAGACTAATATTTACGGAAGTAAATATGGTCATATGACTTTTAAAACACAGTGTATTTAAGCTCTTAAAGAAACTAATTGGGCTGGGTGGCGCTCTAGCTTAGGGCCAATAGGAGACCTCGATGCATTCTTTCCCCTCCTCCTCATTAGCATTCTGTGCAACTAGTGTGACTAGTGCGCATTTAGGACCCACTAGTACTACTAGTGAACATTTTAAGCCTCACTAGTTCACTAGATGAATGTGAATGTATCTCACTGGTTAACTAGTAAAGGGCAAAGGGTTCACTAGTTAACGTGTAGACATTTTGAGCCCCACTAGTTAACTAGTAAGGTCAAAAGAGGCGTCAACTAGTTAACTAGTGAACATTTTGCATTTACTAGTTAACTAGTGAGGGATTCTGGCTGCTACTAGTTAACTAGTGCAGACAAATGTATGCCACTAGTTAACTAGTTCTGCTTCTTTTTTGTAACTAGTTAACATGTCAGAGCTTTTACAGCGCACTAGTTAACTTGTACGGTCAGAGGGCCAATAGTTCATCAAACAGCTTACATGTTGGTACTTTGGTTCTACTGGTGCTGCTCCTGGCGTCACTAGTAAGGTTTATGTGCTAACTAGTCGGACAAAAGTGCCACTAGTTGCTTAAAAGGAGTGACTAGTACAATGTTTTATTGAACTAGTAAAGCAGAGTGCCAAACTAGTTTGACCGTATATCTAACAAGTGAAATCAAAGAGCCAACTAGTGTAGGCAGCTGCCGTCTGATATCAAGAATATGGAATAAATACTCAAATGGCTTGCCATACCTCATAAGAACACACACACACACACACACACACACACACACACACACACACACACACACACACACACACACACACACACACACACACACACACACACACACACACACACACACACACACACACACACACACACACATTCTGCAGCTCAACCTAATTCTGTATTTCTCTTTTCTTCCATCTCTTTCATTTTCACACACTGTCTGCCCTCCCTCTCTCCCTTCTGATTGGCTGTTTGCTGCTCAAAGAAAAGCTGTTGAACTACAGCTGGAGCTGGAAAAAGTGACCACAGTAACACACACGCAGTTCAGGGCTGAGCTCCGGCTGTGAGTGTGTGTTTGTGTGGGGGAAATCTGAGAAAAGAGAGAGAAGAAAGAGATGTGTTTGTCTGGATGTCTGGAGCAGTCTGATTGATGATGAGGATGGTGATGACGGTGAAGAGGCAGCTGCTGTGGACAGAGCAGGGCTGCTGCTGGATGTTCTTTTGTCCTCACTGGTGGATACCATGAGATTATTTTATGGGATTACTGCTTCTACAAGGATTTCCATGTATGCCTGTGTATGTGTGTGAGCCAGGGAGACGCTAAGATGAAGAGTGTCAAACATGTTATAGGTAATGTTCACACACACACACAAACACACACACACACACACACACACACGCACACACGCACACACACACACACACTGGACTTTCGTGTACTGTAATCTGGACTCACTTTGTCAGTTCTTCTTTCACATTTGCTTATCCTTTAGTTTCTTTTTCTAGCTTACTCCCTGAAAATCAGTTCAGAAAGTCATGTTCAAAGTTAAGTTAATTGTTCATGTATTGTATCATTTACACACACACATTGTGTTGTTTTCATGGGCTGTGATGAGACACCGCAGGAGACGGGGAGGGGGGGACTCTGTCAGCCTGCTCACCAGTGTTTTCCATTACAGTCTGCTAGTTAGGTCATTTAGTTTACAAATAATTTAGTTGTACTTATGAATGGTCGATGGAACTAGGAAAAATACAATCTCTGTATGCAGGACCTTTTGCATTTTGCCGTATCCTAATTCAGACGTAATAGAGCTATGCAGGATGAGTCCTAAAACCTGGAAATGAGCAATAGCATTTTACCACTTCTGGTTTCCTCATCTCAAAGTCAATGGGTTAGGGTTTTTATGGTTAGATGCCTTAAATAATATCTGTGGTTAACAAAGGCTTAGGAATTGTTCCCTTTTGTTGAACGAGATACAAAACATGATTAAATACCCGACTCGGGATTGTATAAAGCCATTATGTGTCATAAGAAAGCGGTTGCTAACAGGTGGCTAAATTAAACTGGTAAACGTCATCAAGACAAACATTAGCTTAGCGGTGGTGCTGTAAAGTCATCTCACTGTGATGTAGTTCACACAGTGCATTTACTCAAAAGCATAAAATAGTGTTAATATGCAGAGATTATTCTGCTAAACAAAACATGCAAGTATAACTTGTTTGCCAAAGATCTTGTTTTTTCTGCAATATCCAATACAAAATCCCTTTGGCATTTTGATGAGAAAGCCCTTCCAGGTTGGCCTACAAAAATATGTTATAACTGCACCACTCCATTGTGAACTAAAGCATTTAGATTTCCTGCGTCTTCTGAATTGCAGACTGATCATAATCTTTGAAACATAATAATCCTGAACATTTAAAAACATGGTGAGATGTCTGTTTGTTCTGACCGTTTTAATGTACTCAAATCTATGTGCTTTTACGGGAATTGATGACATTCACAGTTTGCTGCTATACTTGGCCATCTTTGTAAAAGCAACCTTTGATCTCAATGTGATAAACCTGGTTGAATAAAGGCTAAATAAGAGGAAGCAGTTGATCTGCATGTGTTTTAAAATAGATTGTTTTGGTTATTTTCAATTAAAAGCATATTCAAACTAAATGGCTTATGAGAACAAATTATAATACTTTTATCATTGGGTTTCACTTACATCAGGCTTTCTGGTTCTTAGCCTTATCAGTGTGTGGAATGTAGCGGGGGGGTGCTGGTTGTGTGCTAACCTCTGAAATGGAATGAAGGAACCTTTTAGTTCATGAAAAAGTAGTCCCAGATCTTAAATGACCAGGAACTTGTTGGTGGAAACGCAGCTTAATATTTCATACTTTTGGTATGAAAGATTGATGTTTCTGCAATGGTGGTTACAAACTTACTATGCAATCATTAAAAAAAGTAAAGTAGGATAGATTTCTGTGAACACGAGAGGCTCAAAAAAAGCATATAAGAAATGGAGCTAAGAGTATAGGCTGCAGAGTGTTTGTACCTGGATCGCTGACAACTTTAAGTCAATGGGAAAATGTGTTAATTAAGATATATGAGTTGGAAAATGTAGTTCAGTATGGGGTCTGCGCTCATCACAGGGCTTTATGGCTCTGTAAACCTACAGAGATGGAAACAAGCAGAGACTGGAGGAGAAACACAGAAATATATGTAGTTTCTTTAGTTCTTATAAAGCACTGATACAATCTGCACACAAAGTAAGTGAGTTTACTTTACTAAATATTTGTTAACCTCATGTTAGCCTTTTGCTGATTACTAGGCTGCCAATTCAAATAACGGTACATACTATCAGAATCATGCAACCAGTATGTTAATGCTACGGAGCCCATCAATAAAAACATTTACAGCCTTACTCAACGACAAAAGGGAGGATTTAATTCATCTCAATAAGAATGCAAATGGACACACCGTATGAACTGTAATTACACTACCCTTAAAATCATAAACATGATAGTCTAGTGCTTGTGCATATATCCTCTTTTGTTGTGTCATATATGTCACCATCTGTCTCACTTCTGTCTTTTTTTTTTAACACAAATGTTAAATGCTTAAAAGTTAAGAAATATATTATTTAGTTCAATTTCAGTTTTATGAAAGTCACAAAACCGACACAGTTGTATATAAGCAACAACACTTCAATCACACGTTGCATGTGTCACCCTATTTGATTGTGTGTGTGTGTGTGTGTGTGTGTGTGTGTGTGTGTGTGTGTGTGTGTGTGTGTGTGTGTGTGTGTGTGTGTGTGTGTGTGTGTGTGTGTGTGTGTGTGTGTGAGCAGCAGCAGTGACATTGTGTGAGAGCATGCTGTGTAATCCTTTTATATTTAGAACTGTTGGCTGTAGGTGACAACTAAGGTGCATATCTTGGCATCATTGTTGTGTTGCTATAGAAACATAGAGTTTTGACACCTGACAGCTAGGCAGAGAATGTGTGTGTGCTTCAGCTCAATCACTTGTAACCAGATTCCTTAGTATATATAGGGGGTTAATGTTGGTGACTTGTGAAGTCAACCACCAGCTCCTTGGTCTTCCCTGCGTTGAGCTGGAGGTTGTTCCTCTGGAACCAGAGGGTGAAGTCCTGCGTCAGTTCCCTGTACTCCCTGTCGTCCTCGTTGGAGATGAGGCTGACGATGGCAGAGTCTTCAGAGAACTTCTAAAAGTGGTTCAAGGTTCAAGGCTTTTATTGGTCATACGTACATAGCTACAGTGTAGTTGATTATTAAGACGTAAATAAACAAGACTACTTAATGTCATCATGCCGAATGTTAGCCATCTTTGGCTTAGCGGTGGCGTCATGGTGTCCATGACCTAGCTTCTTTTTGGGATAAAAGTTGCTAACAAGTGACTAAATGTGACTATGCAACATCATCATGCCAAACATTAGCCACTTTAAGCTTAGCGGTGGTGATGTGGGGACCATGACCTAGTTTCTTTTTAGGCTAACAGTTGCTAACAAGTGACTAATCTAGTCGAATGTTAGCTGCCTTTAGCTAGGCAATGGTGATGCGCAGCTATTGGACCGTGATGTAGTTTGTTTAAAGTCTAATGCTAGGTTTTTACTTCAGGCAATTGCATGTCAGCTTCAAAAATCATAAAAGTGGTAGGCCTGTGGAGATTTTGCTGCTGAAAAAAACATGTGAGTATCATAAAAGTGTGTTAGGAAAAATCCCATCGAGGGAGCCCTTGCGATGCCAACTTCTGTTTCAGCCTATAGAATGTGTCAATATTGTACCACTCTAATGACACAGAAAAAGGCAATCCAAACAGGTTGTAACAACAGATATGATTTAGGGATTGGTCCACATGTGTGTTACTTTTAAATATGGCGGTTGCGGTGCTAAATATAAACGTAATCCCGATACAGCAGACTCAGATACTAGAACAGAGCAACATTGATATTGCCGCAATTAAAAGCCAGACTCACTACCACCCATTGTGCTCTCCTTTAGTCAGCCCTTACACCCCCCTGACCCCCCACCACCACCAGCATACAACCTAGCCAAGCATGTTTCAGGAATAAAGTACAGTCAGTGTCAATGCATGTCTTTATTCTCAGGGACAGAGAAAGGTTTGTTCAGTGCACCCTGCCTATAGAGTTTCAGGCTACAGGGGAACCAAAATTAAAAGCAATTTTTTAAAAAGGAAATGAAAAAAGAGGTAATCTGATGAAAAGGAGAACAGAAAAACATAAATGTAATATTCTGAGTTATGAGTTTCTTTAAATAATGCACATATCCAAACAAAACAATGAGAAGATGACTGATGTAAAGATGTTCCTTTTTTATGTTTACCTGTCACGCAGGTCTGTCTGACTATATTTGTTATATTATTTGAAGAATTGATCCCCCTGCTCCTCCTTTTGCATTGTGCTGTAACTCTCACTCTCTGTGTTTCTCTGACTGTCTGTAATCCATGGATGTTGAACTGTGTCTCTAGCTCTATCTGATGAATGTGTCTCTCGTTCCAGATGAGATCATGCAGCAGGAGATCCGGCCGCTGCTGGCTGTGGACATCATAGAGCAGCTCCACCGCCAGTTCGCCTTACTCTCAGGTACGGAACAAGACCCCACTGTATTCCAAACACTGTGAGGGCTCCTTACTTAGCCTAAAGCATTACATTAACAACATGTTCAGAGCAACTGTGGGCAAGGAGGGTAGCTACTGTAGATATGACCTTCATTTAAACAGTTGGAATTGGTTAATAAAAAATAAAAAGGAAAATTCACTCTCAATAATAATTGGCATAGAATGGCAAGTGAATACATATTGACGATAGCAGACCTTTAGGTTTCCTTTATGTTTAAAATGGGTGAAGTAGCCCCTTAACATCAAACCAGCCACATCACATACTGTGGACATTTTTGGTACCACATTCCCTGCTATCTTCTCCTACTATATAGGGGATTAACAGTGAAGTCACTCTATGTATGTGTCTCTACTGCATGGTATTACACAGCTTCACAAAGGCTCTACTGTATATTATTACTATGCTGTATTGTACATCAGAAAGACCCTCTTCTCCCCTGGTCTATACTGTAGGCTACTATAGACTCTGTTCCTCCCTTGCATGTACCATAAGGAGCCAACACTGTCATCATCCCCTAATTATGTTGTTTTGGAGCATTCTGTGTCTTACAGTATATCTCCTCATCCATATGGAAAATGGACTGTATTTATATAGAGTGTTTACAGTGATTGTTACCACACAAAGCGTTTTCACATATACAAGTCAGTATTCACCCATTCACACACATTCATACAGAGGCAGAGGCTGCCACACCAGGTGCCACCTGTTCAGGGAGACGAACCTCTATCTAAGCAGCAGCTGCCGGTTTCTTTCCAAAAATGGCAGCAAGCTCTTATCCAATTCTTATATTATTGAATATTAACAATGTCTTCGTATTCAAAGTGCCAAATCCAGTGTCACTTCAAGCTTACAGGAACTAAAGATTCCCTTTTAAACCTTGTGATAAGTATTGTATCATTGACAGAAGTCACAGAAATAAGGACTTTAAGTATTAAACTGCTGCTTGAGTTAAAATTCTTGGAAGACCATCAAACCAAAGTGATAATGTTTTTTGGGGAAGAACACAGAAAGCCCTTACTGTAGGTTGACTCCTGAAGGAGAATAGAAGAGGACATTGAGTAATTAAAAGACTGGTTTAATCCCACATACTGGGGCATATCTACATATATATTTGCAAAAGAAAAACTTATGTGGTACTTAAGAATAATCCAATTCCATTTGTTTTCCCATGGTTGTTTTTCATTGGGAACAGAAGCTTTTCACTGCAGTCCAGCTGCAGGAAGTTATTGCTCCTGTCTCCCCAGCATTCACTCTGGGTTCCCTCAGACTTTCCACATGTGGCACAGCAGCCGCTGTGGTTCTGCAGAGATGCTTCTCATTCCTTTTCTCGGTCGTTTTACAACATCAAAAATAACTACTGTTTTCAGAAATCCCCTTCTCAGCAGGACTTACCTTCAGAGGCACTTACTGTACGTTTAACATAAGAAGAGTTTATGGCTTTGACCACATGTGTGTGTGTAGCCTTCTCAGCAGGATAGGGGTTGGATATTTTAGTCCTTTTTCCTTATACAGTTTTTTGACATGTGAACAGGAACCATTCTTTCTTAGATTTGGTGGAAATGGTTGTATAGCAGCAGCGTTATGTCTGTTTTCCTGAATTTGTTGGTGTTTTCTAGTCTTTCACACAAGCCCATGTTTTGAGTTTTTAGCCAAAAATAAATGTCCTAAACTCCACAGCGAATATAAAAGCTTTTATACTGAATTTACTGCAGGTTAAATTACCTTAGCACAGACACAGGGCGGCAGAATGGAGAATATATGACTAAAAGGCAAACTAGAAGGACTGCAATTTTGTATATTGCCACACTGAACTCAATGAACTCTGGTGGCCTTTACTATAGGAATCAGCAACCAGCAGAACAAACGGGCAGGGGGAGCCAAAGTATTTTTATAGGATACTCAAGAAAGTACAAGAAACATTTGTGTCATTTTCACTGCTTCTTTACCACTTTAGTGTAGTTAACTGAACTGTGGATATGACTGTTAAAATGCGTAGTCATTCATCCTTGTTTTTAACTATTGTTTTAGTTTTCCCCTACATATATACTTATCATATTGATTACATTGGCAAGGTCAACAACGTACTTGGTGTATAACATGTGATTCTGCCCCTAACCTTATCAAACCTTTATTATAATCTCGAAACCATTTATTTCTGGTTGTTTCCGAGGAAAACGGAACCTCCGTACATGAATTATATGAATAATATATATTATATATTAATAATAATGAATAATATATTTGCATATCTTTACTAATCGCAGGTGGTTTATAATATATATATTTTTTCCCAGCAGACACAGAGCATCAAGGCATTAGTGTCTGCAGAACATTGTATTGGAGAGGTGCAGGAGCATTTTTAGCTCAAGGTTGCCACCTTGTGACTGTTTTGTAGAAGCAGGAAAGTTAGAGGAGTACATTTGGTTTTGAAGGTATTTCATTAAACCTTTTTTCAATGTTCGTAATGTTTCCTTTTTACGGCTCTAAGAGCAGAACTGTTTAGTTTCATTTCAGCTGGGCTCAAAAGCTACTGAGTCAATAAATGTGATACATTAAATAATGCCAAATACAATTCACAGATAGATTGATTTTCTTGATAAATGGTGAAACTGTGTAATAACATGCAGTAAGCTATACTCAAATACAGTTTCATCGTGAATGATTCCTTATTTTGGGGAGAGCAGCTAATGTGGTAACATTCAATAAAAGCATCCATGTGATGTGGTGTGGTGTGATGTTTAAAGGCGTCATTATCAATTCTAAACATAAAGGTAATTCCACAATAGTCAAACCCATCACATAATAAGAGTAAATGTTGTGTGTTGTGTTTTTGTTGCAGGAGGGCGAGGGAAAGATGGCGCCCCCATCATTATTTTCCCAGAGTACTCGAGCTTCAGTGAGGTGCCGGAGGAAGACTTCCTCAATGTTGTTACCTACCTGACCAGCATACCCAGGTACACACTCTCTCAAACAGACATCTTTATAAAAGCCTTTACATGGGGAATCCCAAAACGTGCCCGCAAATATCATATGATAGGAGCTTTTATTGTGAAAGGTAATACATGGTTTCACACCAAGTCTACAGTACCATACTCTCTAAACCAGGGGGGTCCAAACTGTTTTCACTGAGAGCCACAAACAGAAAAACATACGAAGGGTTGGGCCCCTCACTAGAGGTGAGGTCTATTCCCTTATAAGTTAGTTTATAAATTCATAAAATCAATCAGATGTAGGTAAATTATTCTAGATAATTTAATATTCTTTAAGAAAAACAGCCTACATCACAGCTCTCAATAGGGTTTAACTTATTTTGTTACAAAAGTGTCTGCAGCTCATTCCTTAAAACAGAAGCCTCAGATTGCTTATAATAATGGGAAATAGGAAGGGTATATTTCAGGCTTGTTATGCAAATGGTTATTGTTTTTTGTTTTTATCAACTAAGATTTGTTAGAAAATGATTTCATGAAAAAAACAAAACAGAATGTATTGAAAATGTGGGCTTATTAACACATGAATGCTGTGTAATATATGTTTACATATATATTTAAGAAGTACAATATAAGAAAAGCACACATTTCAGGTGTTGGCAATTCTCCATTACACCTTTTGAATTTGCTTTGGGCCACAGTTGGCCCCCGGGCCGTAGTTTGGACCCCACTGATTTCGAAGGTCGCAATACATACATGTAGGTATAAATATGTGTCATCAGTCAATGTCTAATGCAGGATGCCTCAAATACCAGGATGTTCTACTGAATCTCTCTGGCTATCTGTCAAACAAACCCTTGAGCAGCAGATATATGAACAAAGGGGCAAAGTCTAAGACATATTGTAATGAAGAAGTATTATGGTCCCAAAACAACCTGATGCTGGGCCCCACACCATCCCACTCTCTTTGCATTGTGTAGTTTTTATATATTGAAAATCTATCTGACCCCAAATATTCTGTGTGTTTTTTCAATTCAGTAAAATCTTTTTAAAATACTCTATATTTCTGGAACTATGGCAGTGAAGCTATTGTTTGTTTTTATTTAATGTGCAAGATGTTTGTGCGTCAGCTTAGTTCTACTGTGTCAGGTTCAGCAAGCAGTAAAGTGTACACACCGATGCACAAAGCAGCAGCCCAGTTACATGTTTCCCTCCTGTCTCCAGCCTGGATGCTGCCAGTATCGGCTTCATCATCGTCATGGACCGGCGGAAGGACAAATGGAGCTCAGTGAAGGCCTCTCTGTCCAGGATCGCTGTAAGTTCTCCAACACATTCATATTCAAATCATCATATACATACATTTGTACCTATACATAAAAAAATGTTTGTCTAATACATACATATATTTCAAGTTCTCAACCGGAGGTACAGGGACCCCTAGGGCTACTGAGGGGGATTGCAGGGGGTACGTAGAAAGATTAGTGATTGCAATTTATTTCCACACAAAAAAACTATTTAAAATAAATTCTCATAAGCCTCAGAGCAGTGGACCTATCATGCTATATTTGAATAATATAGTGTAGGACCATACCTATATAAGGCATATTTATACTTTTTTTTCTTCAAAATACCAAACAGATCGTGCATTTTAGCCATGCCTCATTTTGCTCAATTTGACAATTTCTAGCTCTGTTTTAGCAAGGGCAGATTCAGTGAGAACAGCACCATCTACTGGCCTGGCATATGTACTACAGCGTCTCCAGCGCTTTCGAACGGCAATGGCCGTGGCTGTCTCCTCCTGATTGGTGGAGTTGGCCCAATAGCCGTAGCGCCACCGTCCTGACGTCAGGACAGTGTTCAAATCTGGATCAGTTTTTATCAGACCCGTTGCAGCCCCTTTTTTAGAGATTTGGGTATGGAGGAAAATAGAGAGGGTTGTGTTTTCTGACACTTGGTGAGTTCCCTGGAACACCGGGGACACATATTCATGTATAAAAGACGTACAAAAGTGCATTTTGCATGATAGGTCCCCTTTAAGAAAGACAAGCAAGCTCAAGTGTCTAATTCAAAGCTCTAGTCTTAACAAAGATGTAGAAACTGCCAGGAGTCTTAATATTATTATTTTTCACTGACAAGTGTAAATGTCAAGTTTAAAGGCATTTGTATTAAAGGTGAGTTATACAAGTGATTTTCATTGAAGGATCAGTTGGGTTGAATATGCTTACAAAGGGTCTAACACAGGTAGGTGAATCATCACAGATGAGTCAGGGGGTTCTTGTGCAATCGGGCCTATTGTGACCAGTACACAATTAAGGCAAATCCTCAAGCTGTGACTTTTAAACTTGAGGATTGTGAGATCTTTTCTGCTGTTTGTGAGAATCCCTGTCATGTCTGTCTGCAGCTTCTGCTGTTTACATTTGAATTGTTATTGAGTTGTTTCCTTTTGTCTGCGTGATTCTCATAGGGCTTTAGTTTAGTTTAGTTTATAATGAGTGCTATGATAAGCTGAATATGTCTCAGGAATGTATTGTTGGTTTGGACAGAAGGACTTGTGGTTGTTAATAGCGTTTACAAAGCAGAGAGAAATCATTCAAGGAGATAAATGAACACCAGTGATTCTATTAATAATATGACACTCCTCTCACTGTACTTGTGATGATCACTGAGGTTATATACGTGCATTAGCAGTTTTAAAAGGAAATGAATCTTGAGTTTCAAGGCCACACAGGAAGTCTTTTTAATGAAATGTTACAAGCAGTATGATTCAGCAGTGTGTTCTGCATTAGCTTACAGACATGTTGAGCTAAATTGACATGTCACTGAGTCCGATTTCTCAGAATAAACAGCTGTAATAATTTGGCCCTTTAAAGTGTTGAATACAAGAAATACACGCATTCTGGTCCCAGGAATGTCCTCCCAGTTAGTGTAGCCTGGTTGAATTAAATGACTAAATTAATGAGTGTATCAAAGGATTGGATGTATTGTAAATGTGCATGTGGTCGTGTTATCCAGGGGGCGTTTCCTGGAAACCTGCAGCTGGTGTTGGTGCTGAGGCCGTCCAGGTTCTTCCAGAGGGCCATATCAGACATTGGGTTCAAGATGCACAAAGACGACTTTAAAATGAAGGTACCGGTAAGCATGCTTCAGTACCAACAACATAGACTCTATCAACTGCTATCATTAGAAAACAATTACTTCTCTCTTTGTTAAACAGAGTGTTTAGAGACTTCAAACTAAATGCATGACAAATGAATGTTGCATGAAATAACAAATTGTAAATACACATCCATTCCATACATTGTACAGCGTTAACTGATATACAGGGTTGGGTTGTAACGGAATACATGTAACGGCGTTACGTAATCAGAATACAAAAATCAAGTAACTGTATTCAGCTCGCGTTACATTTGAAAAACGAGTAATCTGATTATAGTTACTTTCGTAAACCTGAAGTGAATACATTTTGGAATACTTATTGGAATTATTGGTGGAAAAGTTTCCTCACAACATGTAATATTCATTACTGGCAGATCTGTGTGCACGGCACAGCAGCGTGTCTGTGAGAGAGAGAGAGAGAGAGAGAGAGAGAGAGAGAGAGAGAGAGAGAGAGAGAGAGAGAGAGAGAGAGAGAGAGAGAGAGAGAGAGAGAGAGAGAGAGAGAGAGAGAGAGAGAGAGAGAGAGCATGTCTGTGAGGCCCCGCCCCCATACGCAGATCAGAGAGAGAGATCTCTTTTAAAATATATTGAAAGTTGGAAACGGAGATGGTTAGATAAAATGTGCAAGATAACGTTTATGTAGCATTTATTTATTGTCGAAATGATGACATTTCATAACGGAATGAAATCAAAGTGAATGGCCTGCTGCTGCTGAATGCATGGGACAAGGGACTGGAACAAGTTTTAAAAGTTATTACATCGTTTCAGATAATAATAATAATAATAATAATAATAATAATAATAATAATAATAATAATAATAATAATAATAATAATAATAATTCATTCTATTTAGAGGCGCCTTTCAAAGCACCCAAGGACACCTGACAATTCATAACATATTCTAAGGAAAGGTTTAAGACAGTACAAATAATGAAGTCCGGGTGATGTTTTTTATGTGGGGTGCAGATGAGAGGGAGCTGCCCAGAATGACACCAAGATGTTGTGTTTGAGTTGTGCTCTTGATAAGCCATTAAAACAGTAAAATAAGTGTCTCCTGTTCACCAAAACATACCCATCTGTTATGGAAAAAGAAAGTATTCCAAAAGTATTCTAAAAGTAATCTGAATACGTTACTTTTTGAAGACACGTAACTGTAACTGTATTCGGATTACTTTCAGAGCCATGTATTCAGTATTCAGTAACCGATTACATTTACAAAGTAACCCTCCCGACCCTGCTGATATACTATACTTAGCATGTGAAAAAGACGATTTGATTGTAAATAGTTTTTCAAGATCTCCACGTTGCCATGAATTAAATGTTGGGAGAGAAATGCTAAAGCTCTTATATAGTCATTTCTGAGCCTAAAATATGTCAAATGATTATGATCATGAAAAATGAAACTCCCAGAGGTTTCTAAAACCCACAAATATAAAAGGGAAGGAAAAGGACACCATGACCTCAGCTGGGCTTCTATGATAGCAACCGCCCTATGACCCACATCTCGTTTTCACTCCTCTGGCCGCACACTGCAAGATGAAGAACACTTTTTATGCTCCTCCTTTCACGTGTTCACACCCCAGATGTGTTAAAAAAAATAGCAACAATAAGAAAGAAAAGGGAAACATAAATGCTAACTAAACCTGTGTAGATTTCAAATGTTCTAGGAGCATATATTGAACCAAAACTCTTTTATTTTATTTTATATTTGTTTAGAGGACTCAAGAGACACATTTAAAGAAATGGTCAAAATGAATGCAGCAGAGACTTTGATATGTGGCTTTTGGCCCCTAGTATGAGCCTCCAAAAACATTGAAGCCTAACATTTCCGCAATGCATCTCTCATGGGTCTTCATGCCTGATAAATGTCTTTCAAACTCCATGTCCCAAATTTGAAACTCAGTATTTTAGTTATTATTGTTATGACCAGGCAGACAAAGTCCTGTTGATATACCTAGGTTATTTTCT